CCCCATAACCTACAATAACGCCACGTCTTACCGAGCACACATGTTTCGTGAGCATGGATGTAAGCGTCGTGCATTGCTACGAGGTCTGTGTATATGCCTTAAGTTGTTATCAAATTTGATTGTTTTGTATGCCAACAATCAGTCACATTGGACAAGCGTGTTTGTTTATAAATCATGTCATCATGTTACTTTTGCACCCATCGACAAGATTTCAGCACTTGAATCATTCGTAACACGTTTTAGTAAGCTTGCCCCCATTTTGTCCGACGTGTTTTACGATGCGAGATACCGTTGGATTGGTCTTGCTACATCAAAAGCGTAAGACAGTACGAGAAATGTTTCTAGCTCTCTTGCTTTGTATTCGCAATTGTGTTGAGGACAAAAAGGCGACATTTTGACTGCAAAAGTAGTGTCTGAAGACACCAAGTGCTCCATGTGCCACCACCGATTTGAAAGCTTTCTGTCACTCCTTTACCACCTTGTTGCAGAACACATCAGTGAGTCGTCGGATGCTCTGCCATAATGTTGGTGTGGATACGAGGTTCTCTTCAACTAATCCTTCATTGCGGTGTGCTGTAGCTCAACTTACAGAGCGTGGTGAAACACGTCGTTACTGTGGGGAGTGTTGTGCGTTCTACGAGACGTGGGAGTTGCTGAGAGAGCACTTCCTCTCGTGCCATCCCTCTGCGTATCCCCTCATTTGCGGGCCTTACTTCATGATGACTGCTTTTATTGACACTTCATGTCCCTTGCTTTACAGAAATTCACACAGAACTGTTTGGGCTGATGTGACAGAGACACCTCACCTTCATGAGCTTCGTAGGTTCGTGACTAGTTTGTTTTTACCCACGGACTTCACTTTACATGTTAATTGTGTTTCAAAACTTAAGCAGGATGATCTGTGTTTGTCCATGCTTTAGCTTCGAACAACGAGCTGCCTTCGTTTACCTTCTGGCTATCCTTCTTCTTGCATACGCCTAGCAAGTCGAGATTTGTACAAATTGAACATTTGCTATCGCATATTGTTCATGATACTTTACCCTTTGATAGGTGTGTAGACAACCGCTTATTATTTAAATGCTCTGTCTAGTTATTAAGGGGGAGTCTCAGAGTATACACATGAGGATACCTAGTTACTCCAGGTTTGTGCATTTTCTACTGACTTCAAGTAATGTGTATTTAACTTCTCTGAGTTTGTGATGTGTGGCAGTTTCATCACTTATCTCTTCATCCTCGGCCTTCAGATTATGCAACTGATTAGACAAGATCATAAGTATTGTAAGCGGGCAATCCGCGTCAGGGCTGCGTGCACTTAAACTCTAGCCCACTTCAGCAAATTTCCACAACTCCTCCTCTTCTTGGTTGGTCTTTCTCTGAATGCTTCTCATCTTGAAGGCACCTTCTAACAGACATGAATGGCAGAGTCTTCTCGTCATTTCGATCATCGTCACAGGTGACCCCTTAAGGCTGGTCTCTTCGTGTGCTATCAGATGTGCTTTTCTATCTTCCACTCCTGCGTAAACATTGTCTTCCTCTCCAACCAGTGATGACCACTATCTGGATGCGTCTTGTTTTGGTGGACGGTGATTGGCTGAGTACGGAGGAGGTAGTTTGTAGGCGAGAGGAATTTTACCACTTTAACTGCATCCTCGCTCCACGGATGATGGAACTCGCAGAATGTTTCAGGTGAAGCTATCGAACTGCATAGTTGTACTAAATGACCTGTGGGCATAGGATTCGTATCAGAGCCTAATTGTGGTTGGTACTCTGCGTGTTTCTCTGGTGATGTTTTGTAGTTTTACTTGAGAATATTGTACGTACTGCAACATTATCTGTCTGCGGAGCAGAGTGACCACATTACTATGCGTATTCCCTTTTCTGTATTGAAGTGTTAAATCATATGACTGCAGTTCTTCGTACCTGTGTGCAAATAAATGGTCATTCCCCTTCATTATTTTAACGGTGAGTGCCTGATGGTCCACCCTTACTATCGGATAGTGTCTGAGTAGTTTAACCATTGAGTAGATAGCTAACAGCTAGCGTTGTGATGCACCTTTCTGCCGCATTTTTGCCGATTCTGGTGCTCGCGTAGGTGATGACTCGTTTCCCTCCTTCTTTCTACCTTCATGATAGTTCGGCATTGGTGGTCGCATCACTGGTTTTGTTGTTCAGTCCGAAATGTGGACTGCTGGGTGCGAAGTTGGGCAGTGCTAGAGTCAGTGTAAGGTGGATCATTTGTTTCAGTCCTTTGAACTCTTCATCGTGCGATTTCTCCCACTTAAAATTCCTCATCGCCTGCTGTTAGACTACCTAGTGCAGCGGGACGGTTGCCTCTGACAAATCGCCTGTAGTAATTCGCCAAATTTAGGGAAACAACAGAGCTCCGTCAAATTGGTTAATGTTGGTCTTGTCCTCACTTGTGTACGGACTTAAGTGACTGCCATGCTGTCTGACGAGAGTGTATGTGCCCAGAAGTTAACGGAGTGATGCATAAAGTGGCAATCCTTTCTTCTCATGGACAATTTTGCGTGTATAGACGGTTTAACACAATTTCCTGCTTGGCGTAGTGCTCTCAAGTTTCGCCACCATAAACGAGTATATTAGTGAGGTAGATTAGGCAATGTTTAGGGAATAAGTCATTTAATGATATTCGTTTCAGGGGTTGGAAGATGGCCTCAGCGTTAGAGAGTCCCAAATGCATTCGCAGGAATTCATAAAGCTCGTTTAGCAATATAAAAGTCCATTTCTCTCTGCCCTTAAGATTTCTACAATTAACTTTTACAGTAAAACCAGTGTGACCAATGTAGGGAGTCCAGTGAATCTACTATGTGGGGTAATGGAAGGAGTCCTCCTTTGTTACGGCGTCCAGCTTCCTATAGTCGATGTACAATCGCAGGCTACCGTCGTTTTGCTTTTCCAGATCGACCGGAGAGGTCCACAGTAACTTTGATGGTTTTATAAACTCGACTTGAATCATCTCTTTATCCGGACAGTTTACTTCTTTTATCAGAGGATGGGAAATACGCCTGGGTGGATGTCAAAAAGAATCAAGCCTCGCAGCTGTCTATCGTATGCTTGACGGTGTGTGGTCGTCCCAGTTTAGTGCCTTGCCATGAGAGTTTGTTGGCATACTTCAACAGCAACTCGTGAAGTTCTTTCCTCGTGTCATCAGTAATGTGGATACGATGAGCATAAAGGTCATTCAAGTCGTTCCTTGGGATGTCTGTGGCTTTAAAAGAGCGGTGTAGATGTGGTCGGCGTCTACTCTCTGCAGCAAAATATCCGCCATGGCGTTGTGCCTTGCTGAGTGGAGAAGGTGTCTTCCACAAACAATAGGACAGGGTTGTCGCAGCGTACAAAATCAGCACCACGCATCACCTCTCGAGCCAGTTATAGACATAACAAATTTCACTGTCCAGATGTCTTTGCCTATGCAGACTTCTGACGACGTTGCCCCTTTTACAAGCATCCAATTTTCTTCTGTTAAAACTAATTTTTTTTGAGAAGGTTTACTATTAATTTAGCTGCACCCGAGTGGAGAAGGAAAGGGGATGGGCGTCATTGTATTTCACCTGGGACTAGAATTACTGAATGAAAGCCCATGAGAAATAGATAGGATAAGGAGAAGGAAGGTTGACTTGGTCTTGGTGCATGTCGCAAAGGAGCACGATAGGAGGGTGCTGGCTTTGACCATCTGTTGAGCTTCTGATGCAGCGCAACTGCATGAGGTTGCTGGCGCCTTTGGGTTGCGAACTTGACCCGTCGGCTGAGCCAGTTGGTCTTTATGCTGGAAAGTTTCTCAAGCATAACGGGAGATCGGACTCTGTTTCTGAACCGAACGTTTATCCAATTAGCGACCTTGTTTGAAGGTGGGCTCCGAAAGGCACGTTTGGCTAGATGTTGAGGATTTCTAGAGTGCCCCTCGTCATTCCCCTCGACATTTTGGTAGTATGGGAAGAAGTCTTTGACTTAGGTCGGCTCTTTCTGATCAATGACAAGTTGAGTTAAGGCATGGCAACATTGATTGATGTCAATGTCGTGGGTGAAGCCGGTGTCGATTGCACCGAAAGCAGGTCTTGAGGGAGGACACGGAGGATTTAATGGTGAACTTTGGCACTGAGGAGAGAGATGGAGGTTTAATTTTGCCGTTTTCAGCTGCTCTTTAAAGTTAATGTCCTCTTTGAAAGGGAGGAGGTCCTTCGGTATCAATCTGCTCCTCCCTGACCTTCATGCCTATTAAACGAAAGGGCTACTTTGATTGGAACCTGATCATGGGTTAGAGTAAATGAGGATGGGTAGAGGTGTAGGGGTATTGGATGACCGAGCTCTTCTCTGTTTCGGGGATCGTGACCACTCCCCTATCACGATGTTCGAGTTGACTGCCCACTTCCTCCCTAGAGGTTACGTTTAAACATCATTAGTATTACACACGTCATAGCCAAATCATTCACTCTTCTCATTTCCATGCAGCCTGTGCGGCAACAATCGGTTTGCCTTAAAAATGAAATTGACACTTGCTTGCATATTGTGTTTGAGGTGAGACCGAGCAGCACCTTCTATGACACTGCTACTTTTGTTTTGTCAAGCTCGATGAAAGCATCTGTGGCTTTGTAAGTGACTCGCATTCTGTGCAGCGTACGAAGCTACATTTGAGGCAGCTCTAGAGAAGAGAGTCTCTGAATGATGTTGCGAAATCATATTTTAACGTCTGGCTGTTTTGTGTCAAGTCAAGTGCCATTTGGAAGCATTGGGTGGTTGTAGGGAAAATGAGGGTAAACGAGGTCTGCTCCTATTCTCAACCTGCATTGAAATCCCCAGCTTAATGTTTTCTTGCTGTAAGCAGAGTACGAGCATCAATTTAAGTGTGCGAAACTAAAACTGGTGTCTAGTTTGCTTAAAGTGGTGTGGTTACGCACATCCAAGGCAGGGACATACATTTAAAGAATAATTCCCTTCAATCGCTACTGCCTGAGGGTAGATTTTCGGAAAAACAGAACTATTAATGGCTCTCCAATTCCAGACTCATTCAGTTAGAACTGTCATAGGGGTTCACAAAGTGGACATGGCGCCCCATTTGCACCGT